ATCTTCTCTATCATACAAACCTATATAATTTATCTTCTCTATAATAACTACTAGAGATCTGAAAATTTAGGATAATATTCGTCTAGTTGCAACAGATTGTGATTCCAATTTCGACCATTTTTGGATTTGTATTAAGGAAGAAAGAACAGTTTTTTTTTCAGAACGCCCAAGACTGTTGGATTACCCTTTATATTTCTTTCTTTTAAAATTATTAATCTTAGAATAAGTCAATAGAAATTGACTTTTTCTTATGTAAATACAAGCTATAGTTGAACTAAAAGACTTCCCAAGGAAAGAAATCGAAACTGTTCAGAAAAGTACAAGAACTAGAAAATATGAACTTTGTGATGAAGTGAAGTTTATTACTCATGTTTGACAGTTAATGAAAGATTGTTGTTGAGTCGAATAATTCTTTTCGATTTCGGTCTCTGTTTCGAATGAATATATATTCGTTCAAGATTTTCAATATGTTCTATGCTTGAATTGAGTGTGTTTCTATAGAGAATAATCATGTTTCAGATAATTTGGATAGCTTGAAATGTAATTTAGATGACCTGTTAATTATTTCAATCTTATTACCATCTTATAATAAACAGGATATTAATTTTATTTTGATCCATAAGAACATATATCAAATTTAAGATTCTTATGAATTATAAATTTGACATGTGTTCTTACAGATCGAAATCAAACTAATAAATCATTTATTATAAGATTGAATTCTTATAAGAGTTCATTTGAATAATATTTCAAGCAACCAAAATCTAAACAATATGATTGGTCTCTCTATAAGTGTAGACTCAGTTCAAAAACTGAATGTTTGGTAACATGTGAAGACATACAAAAAGAATTCTTTTACTTTTAAGAAGCTCATCTAATTACTGCACGTTGTGTAAAAGTAATATATAAAGGTTGTTTCATAGATTTCGAATCATTTTGAGTTCTTTTTTTGAATTAACAAACCTAGATTGATCAGAAAAATATATATTTGAACTATGAACCAAAATTTACTCTATTCAGTTAACGTTATTATTAAGAGAACGTCCATTTGTCTTTAACAAGTTTACTTTCCTGTCTACTTTTTGTTAGAACGAGAAAAAGATCAATTGCACACTCATGATTAGTATTTTTTATCATTGCGTTCTTACGGAGTTTAATGCTAAAATAAGTTTATGCTTAGGTTTTTTACATGGTTAAGATAAAAAATATAATGAAAAGAAGTGAAAAACAAATTTGATAAAATGGCTTTAATGTTTTGATTAACAGTATACTCTCTTAATAAGGATGTCAATTGAGTACAATAAATTTTAAATGATAACTTTGGTGTTATGTTTAAATATGTATTTTGTATATCTGTTCAACTTGTTATATATTTGAAAAATATGAAAAAGCAAAATCAAAATGGGCTCGAAATTTATTAATGATATCTCAGTATAGCTATTTACTTCTTTCTTATCTCTATTGATATGATCATAAAAACTAAAATACGTCAAAATCTATGTTGCACTATACAATAAATAGAAGTGCGAAAGATTGACAATATTAGTAACATTCGATCGTTTAATATGTATCTTTGTTGTGTATGTCAAAGATTTCAATGAAAGCACTAAAAATTAAAATACTGACTCATATGCAGTCATTCGTTTGGGTTGATGTTCTACCAATTATGTTAGCTCTTAACTGACTAGAAGAAAAAATATCTATATCAAGCTATGCATGAAAGAAAAAAGAATCGAGTATTACTTTGAGTAACAGAGAAAAATGAAACTATCATACAAAGAATAAATAATTAAATAGATGTTCTGTCAGAACGAATTAGAAAGTAAATAAACATAATATTGTGATGGAAAAGAAAACGTTAATTATTGAGGAATTAAAATAAAATACTTACAAACCTGAAATATTTTCTGAGGATGACAATGTAACAATATGAAATTATTAAGAACCAGGTATTCTATGTACACAATTATTGTCAAACAACAAAGGTTCTTTTACATAATAAACACAATCAGAACAGAATGAGGGCGGGGATATTTTATGATATGGACATGTCGAGACTAATCAAAACACTTTCGAGAGCATTGCCAGCTGAGATCAAATAAATAAAACCCATAAAAACACGTACTTTTTCTTATGTCAAAGCTACCATCATAAAATTTATATTTTTGTCTGTGTCTCCGATAGAGAATTGTTATCTTGGATGTCTCGTAAAATTGTGTTACGATAAGAAATTAACAAGGACAACTCCAATAGTTTGAAAAGTACTGCAGTCGTGCTTTTCTTCTTGATTACAATCCACGGCATAAATAGTTAGTAAATCATGTGATTAGTTGAAAATATTGAGTAATGCCCAATATTCAAAATTAATTACAGAATGATAGAGCAGAGAGAATTAAATAACTTATTCTTAGCTTTGATGTATAACCTATTCTTTTTGTCTGCTCAGACCAAAATCAATGGATACAGAGAGCAACATCAAGATTTCTCCATTATCACAATAAATATAGAGGTGTCTTAACATGAAAAAAGAACGTAGATAGATCCTTGTAATTCAATCTATTTTATTTATTCAGTATGGTTTATTCATTTGGCAGGTAATAAAAAACTGTAGCTAATTTTTCGCTTTATTAGTATAACACTTTTTTGTTTTCTAACAAAGTTGAACCTCGATATGTCCAATCCTACCATGACTGCCATCAAGCTACTTTTTTCTAGCATGTCCTGATGCAATATGCTTGTAAACTGATTGATATTTCAAATTTTACGAATTTGTTAACGTCTAGAAATCTTCGTTAATGTATCGTTCTCGCCTTACTTGTTCATTTAACTTATTTCCATAAGCATAAAGTAATAAAGAATTCTTGCATAAAATAGCAATTCAAAACAAAATGACAATATAAAAAGCTTTGGCACAAGAAAGTCTCGAATGAATATAATGTTTTTGATCATATCAGTTCCTTTTTCATAAAATCAAAAAAAGGAATCATAATTGTAAAAATCGCGTTTGATTAGGTCTACAAGGAAGCGATAAAAAGAAAATGTACAATGAAATATAGAAAATAAGCGATAGTTGTAATAACAAATACCGACAACTACATTTGACAATCAATTTTAACAGCCAAATTACGACAAAATTTGCTGTAGCATTATTTCGGATCTAAACAAGATCTTTTATCAGTCAATGTAAGTCCTTCGATGCTAAACTAACGTTTGTTTCAAGTATATATTGTTGGATTTGAATGTATTGGTCAAAATGTTCTCGAATAGTAAGGCGATGTGTCAATATTTGATGTTAAAAACATAAGAGTCTGTAAGCTTTAATATGTTTTGAACCCATGGGCTAAGCAATGTCACAAATATTACGTGACAAAATGAAAAAGATGTCCGAAACCGATTGGACTAATAGGAACATCTTAATCTTCGTTTTGAGTCGGAGTGTATCATCCCCGACGTTAAAAGAGTCAAGCCAACAATTTTGACCTGGTCTGACTTATTAACCAGGCCGAATATTTTTTATATAGAGAGATCGAATGGCATTATTTTGATCGATTGAAAAAATATCGAAGGGATTTATGACGAAAGAAAATGTCGAGAAAAGTTTATTTTGAAATTCTAGACTAGAGAGATGAAAATATTTTAATGTATATAAACAGGTGGCAGATATCTAAGTACATCAGCAAGAGATAATAATGTATGAGAAATATTCATGAACAAAATTAACGACATGACAATACGTTTCTTTATGTGGATAAGTGTGGGTGCGAGTATCTCTGTGGGGTATGTATGTGAATAACACTCTTCTCTTCACATGTACCCTGACACCCGCACTCATATTTCATCCTTAAATAAGCCACTTTAGGACATTTCGAATATTTTCTACATTTTTTTAGGGTATTTATTTTTTCGCTATTTTTATACTACCAAATCGACACAAACCAAGGGATCTGGTCAAGCTAAAATTTCAAAGTTTCGCTTGACTCACCCACAACCAACAAATAGCTGACCAGGCTTACATCTCTGAATTCTGCATCGTTTGTTTTGGTCTGTCTTGACTATATGCCCTTCACAACTTCCTATGCTTATTCATATACGTAGAGATGAAAATACAAATAATTTCAATGTCTTTAATGAAAGTTGATGGTAAAATAAAACAACAAGAGATCCTTAATGTAATAATCATCTATTCACACTCAGCTGATGGTGAGTTTCTGTATAAACTGCAAGTGGTCATAAACGTAAGAAAAAAATCTTTATAATCGCACAAGTATTAGGAATATGAAAGGAAAAAAATATAAGACCATCTATGCTATATCGTCAGCAGATCAGAATCAAATTTAAGCTTCGAAACAAATAATCCATAAACGAGTTAAACATATAGATATTAGAAACTAGTATAGTCTCGTTTATATACGAAAGGAAAAAACTAGGCACATGCCTTAAAGAATACGGTATTGATTTTGTTGATTGCTAAAAAGTGATTTATCATTCTGATCAAAAAGCTCAGAGCAATGTGTAAAAAAAAAGTTGCCACCTCAGGTATGACCGTATAAACGAAAGTTATGCTCCTGAAGCTGCTGCGTTTTAAGCAATCTTAAGGAACAAATCTGTTGAAATGCGTTCATTTATTTTGTGAGAACGGAAAATAACTATTTCTGATTAAATGTAATGCAACGCATGCGAGACAATATAGACAAAAATATGCTTTCTTAGCTGTTGTTTCCGCATTGATATGCTTTTCTACCTTTGAACACAACAAGACTTGGTCTGCAAGCGGGTAAAAATGAAATTTCAATGCTTGTTTTGGAGGGTTTCGTCTGACTGGGTAGTTTGATCAAAAATAATACCTGAAAGGTTTGTCTGATAATGAAGAATTAAGTGTCGCTATTCATTTCCTCCCTTGTTGTATTAGTTGGCATCATCAAGTAACTATTCAACTTATATTAAATTATCATAAAGTATAGCATGACAAATAAAAATAGTCTGTCGTACGATTGTTCTTGTCATATGATTGAGCCAGGGGAAAGTTGCAAAAAATAATCTGTTACTGAAAGATTATTGTTTAAAATAGATAATTTCAACGGCGTATATTTATCATCATCGACATAATCAAACTTTTCTAATATATTGATTGATTTTTTCAGAAGATGTTCAATGAGTAGATCGAGGATTTCTTGAGAATTTGTATTCATTGCAAGAATATGAAAAATATTCTGTCCTCTACTATTAACATCTTCAAGAAGTTTATCAGAGTCTTGTTTTTCTAGTATAGCTTTTACAATATCTATACCATTGAGACGTGCAGCGTGTAACAGTACTGTTTCACCGAACTCATTCTTCTGTTGAAGTAAATTAATCTTAGCAACAGAAATAAATTTTGATGGAAGATCAGAATAATTATTCTTAATAGCAATATGAAGTAATTCAGGACGTTTTACAATAAATGGCCGACAGAAGCGTAAAAATAGTTCAGAATTGTTATCAGTAAATAATGTTACGATACAATCTGAAAGTATATATATGAGTCGTTGAGTTGGATCCCCATTAGTCGGTGGTAGAGCAGCTGAAATAAAGTAGATCGATTTCAAGGGAACTATTATCAAAAACGAAAAAAAAAACTTTTCTTCCAGCCAATGACATATTGTACTAATCGAATTTTATTACAAAGATTAAATTTGGATAGTTAATTATTCAGTGTTTTAAAACAGAGTGGGAAGTGTAGCTTGCTACTTGGCAGACTACCAGGTCGTCAAATCTGACGGTACCGAGTATTGAAATTTTAGCTTGGTTTGATCCGTCTATATAGCACTGGAGAAGACTAATAGATCAGGTTGCACGAAAGTTGTTGACCAAGGGATCTGTGAGAAATTAAATTTGTCCCGTTTTACTTTTATGCTTTTCAAGCTACTATAGCTTTCATGTTTTTCGTTCTTTAGCTCCTTTAGTGGATTTCGATGATTCCAAACATTATCCGAAACCACTACCGCGGTTTCGACTACTAACAATGAGAACAAATCGATTCTGGTTCAGTTCTCAAATGTCACATGGAACGGAAACTGTTAAATTATCCAATAGATACAGAAATTTTTACTATTGAATTGTTGAAATTAAAGGCGCCACATATTTCAGTGCTTAACCCTTTCACGTCGGGTGTCCCATATACGGGACGGTGACATTTTTCCTTAGATACAGATATCAAATGGTACTCGAAATGATATTTGGTACTTGTGTCTAAGGAGTTCCTTCTATTATAACGAGAGAGAGACTATGGGCGTTGAAATTTTATAGGAAAGACACGCTTTAAGTGCGAAACTTCGAGCGTCTCTCATTCTCTCTCAAGAGTCTCTAATAAAGTAAGTCTATCGATACATCAAAACGCTTCTAATAAAAATTATACTACAAACGGTGGAGCTCAGGGTACTCATGCAACATCGTCCTTTGGAGAAGAAAACTTTTGGAGGGAGATACAGGACTAAAATACTATTCACAGGATCGAGCATCTTCTATGCTGGCATGCATTCCCTTAGGAAATTGGTGACTCGGGATCTGGCGAAGGCTATTAAGTGCTGAGACTTGGGGCAATGAAAGAGAGCGCTGTGACTTTTGGACGCGCAGTTTTTTACAGACCATAATAAAGACTATTTTTTGAAAAAATACAAACATATTTTCCGCTAAAAAACTCCGGCGTGAAAGGGTTAAGCAAAATAATATTCTACGCATATACTGAAATATTTAATACCAAGAATAAAAAAATGAAGATTTCGTGGCATAGATTTAAGAAATTTTGTATCTAACTGATGATTTAACGGTTTCAGTGCGTTTTTTCTAAGGTTCCGGTTCGGTTCTGGGTTTCGATTTTTTTTGGAACCACCTTACTCTATTCTTTAGTCCTTTTTAGTGTTGGTTAAGTGTACGTGTGCGTGAATAAACATATTTCATTCACCTACACCCATACTCAGAAGGACCAAAGTGACCAAAATATTCTAACAGCTTTAAAAATTGTGTAAGCGTAAACGTAAAAAACTCGATTTCTCGTAAACCTATAACATCCTTGTCTTCATTGTATGCCTGGTCATATATTGTTTTCTATCATAATTACATTTTTTACGATTATGTGATACAGGGGTGATATATTCGAAAACATTCCGATAAATCTATTTTTCCCTGAACAAAAGCAACTTTTGATGACTTATCTCTTCGCTTTAATTCACTATTTCGTACAAGAACTTGCCATTATACTATCTTCATGAAAAATAGTCAGTATATAACTGAAACTAGCATGATACAGTATAATGAGGTTATAGAACTAAGTAGGCTAAAAAGAAACCGAAACACAGTCGGCCTGGTTTGTCCTGCAGGCCAGACCAGGTCGAAGAATAGTAACCCATTAACAACTTTGTTTTAGATCTCTTTATTACGCAAAGTTACACAATTTTTATGCCCTCGTTTAACTCGACAAAAAGTGTTTGCTAGAATTCATTACTTTGTTGAAGAATGAAGCTTCCTACAACATAATGAATTTAAGGTTTAAGACAAAAAATTCAAGTGACTGATTCCGAGTTTGGCTTTTTAATTTCAGGGTTAATTTCACAAATAGATCTACCATCGTCGGTTTCTTCATTATCGCTATATAGAACAGAAATATCACGTTTATTTGGATTATTTTGTACAATTGAGTTTGGATTTCCCATCGGATTGCCTTGACATTTTGGACAATGTACTAGAGTAAAAAACAACCTATTTGAAATAATGTCAAAAAAAACAATATCTTTTATCACCTCTTGGAATATAGTCGAATGTCAATGGTTCTAAAAGTGTTTTTTCTTGTTTTAATATTATATTGACAGTTGTAGTTTTGTCGATGGAAAATGGAAAGTATGGTGTTCGAAATGACACCATTTGGTCTTTCACTTCAAGTTCAAGAACAGATGCTGACCAATGATCAGTAGGCCCATCAAATTCAAATGTAACTTGTAATTCTATCAAAAGAAAAATAGTAACAAATTAATGAACAAAAGAAATTCTTATATAACCTCCATATTTGCTAGGTTTCAGTTTATTTGTATAAAAGATGAGAATTTCATCATTAGTATCTGTGAAACCACTTCGTGGTGCGTATTTATACATACGACAATCAGATGAGATTAATGAATGAGGTCTTACAATGGTCGATTCAGTAGGTGCATTAACAAGATCTGATTCTCTAATATTTTCAGTCATTTCTTCTGAAAAGACTGTTGTTTGACTACATACAATATATGTAATATTGTTATCCTCTATTGTTTTCTTTCCAATGGTAAAAGCTAATTGAGCTTTTTCAAGATTAAACTCTTTAATTGTATCTTTTGCAGATGATAATTGTGGACTAGAATCTTCGTCTAATAAAAAATGAAGTTTTTTTTTTCTTTTCATTTATGATCTATACGAAAACGTACCAAGAGAATCAAACGCAAGAAAATTACCAAGATTTTTCAGATCGTCGGCTTTTTTTTTCACGATGCGTAAATTTGGAAAGCTAAATTACAGAAACTATATCAATATGTTGTTTTTTAGTTTTAATACCTTTTAATTCCACCAATATCTTCCTTTTGAATGGGAAACCAAACAGCTCTATGATTTCGATCATTGTGATCTTCATTATCAATAGCTTCAAGATCATATGGATGTATATAACGACGATGTGTTATCTCATGTATAACGGTTACAAGACAAATACGAATAGAGTATTGCTCATTAACATTAAGATATTGTTGTGGAATCTAAAAGTAAAATCGATTTTCGATATAAAGAAAAAAGATAAGAGTGATAAAATACACATACACGAATAGTCGGACTTTGATAATTTGGATTATTTATACTATGAAGAACTCCACGACGTTTTGTTTTATTTACATAATCGGAACGATAGCGTAATTTAGAAGTGTAGCAAGGTTGTGCAATGACTTCGAGTGATTCAGAATAAAGCGGAAGCTCAGCTGAGATAGAGTCGAGTGGTACGACAACTGAAAAGTAAAGTGAAGATATTTTTGATAGGAATTTATTTGAACATACCAGTCGATGGATTTAAATAATCTGAGTTCATATTGAATATTCACTGCAATATATGGAAATCGTCAATTCAATTCAATTATCTGAATATGTATTCTGAACAAAAAAATTGATATATTTTAGTTGTTAGACGTCTGGCAATAACAATGTTAGGTAAAGATTCGTTTCGTGTATTGTACAAATTATTTGAAAATAATGGGAAACCAATACGAGCTTTAAATACATTTGCTGACTCAAGTCTGGGCAAAAAGCCGAAATTCCCACTCTGTTCTTTTTTTCTCTTGTTCTGCTTCTTTTCATTAGCCGCTTGACGATCCCATAATGGGAAAAAAAATGTTTTGTGTTGCACATTTAGATTATATTTATCAAGCTATTTGTTTCTTGATAATGAAATAACATTATTCATATTTTGTTTTTAGTTTTAATTTTATGTTTTATTACACTTGTGGGTTATGTAAAGGCTTTTGATCGACTTTTCAAAAGCATAAGGCAGATTTTAGAGAATCGCTTTGATCAATATCTATTTTATGATATTTTCATTTACTCTCTCATTCAAGCAAGTCATCTCGTACAGATGTTTTACCACATGGTCATTTCAAACAATGGTCTGAACTTGTCATTATTAACTGATGCCAATGATTCCAGCGCCCAGATTTTTGAGATTCCTACAAGTTGCTGCCGCAAAACTGCAGCAAATCGTTGGAATTTGAAGACAGAAGTTTAGTGATCTGATGCCCACGGATCCTGGCGTTAGCATCATTGACTTAGATCGAATCCCTACTTTCAAGTGCCTACTACTTTGTTTAATTTCTCCGCTGGAAACGGTGCGTATTTCTTGACGTGAGAATATTCGTATGTGATTAGACTTTTTTATAATAGATTCTGCCAGTTGAATTACGTATTTTGAAATTCGACGCTTCAAAAGAAATAAAACTATGCTTGTGTGACATTCTCTAAGATAAAAAACCTACATCATATCTAAGAAAAAAGACTCTCTGCTTCATCTTTGATCTTCTTTGTACAGCAGTTTTTTTTCTGCATTCATGATTATGCCATAATTCTTTAATTTTTTTAAACTTAAGAATAATATTAAATAATATAAAAGTAAAAAAAGAGATCTCTAAATTATACAATGCATGACAATCATTTCTTCAATAAAAATAAAATCAACCAAGACAATAACAATATTAAAATACATATAATGCTATTTATTGACAATGGAACAATTTATTTGTGGATCGAAATTTGTCAAAAAAAAGTGTAAATTTAGAACTACAGATAAATTGTTCCATTTCTATTGTATAGTCAAAATAAACTGCTTTGTTCAATAAGTCAATGTTCTGATATCTAAAAACTTCAAGTTTTAGAAACTATAGATAGATAATTGTAAAATTAAACAAATTTTGATTGTAAAATGTTGATCGTTTAATCATCTTCTGAACTATCATTTTCATCGACTTCCGACTGACAATATATTTCGTTGAAATAGTCTACCATATCGGTATGTTCCATTGATCGAGCCAGTTCAAGTGGTGTCATCTTCAAATTCGATTGAGTTCCTTGTTCAATTAGTTTTTCATCATTCAGTAATAACTTGAGCATTGTTAAATTACTATAACGCACAGCAAGATGAATAAGATTATCACCGGTATAATCATTTGTTGCGCATACAGTTTTACTAAAATGTTTCAAAAAATAACGTGTTGCTGGAATGTTACTCTTTATTATAGATAATTGTAATGGAGTATGATTATCATCATCGACATAATCAAACTTTTCTGATATATTGATTGATTTTTTCAGAAGATGTTCAATGAGTAGATCGAGGATTTCTTGAGAATTTGTATTCATTGCAAGAATATGAAAAATATTCTGTCCTCTACTATTAACATCTTCAAGAAGTTTATCAGAGTCTTGTTTTTCTAATACAGCTTTGACAATATCGATACGATTGAGACGTGCAGCGTGTAACAGTACTGTTTCACCGGACTCATTCTTCTGCTGAAGTAAATTAATCTTAGCAACAGAAATAAATTTTGATGGAAGATCAGAATAATTATTCTTAATAGCAGTATGAAGTAATTCAGGACGTTTTACAATAAATGGTCGACAGAAGCGTAAAATTGGTTTAGAATTGTTATCAGTAAATAGCTGTAAAGCATCATCTGAAAATTTATCCAAAATCTGTTGAGTCAGATTTGTTTGATTAGTATTAATTGAGGACTGAGGACCTGAAATATTTTAATAAAATTAATGAAGTTCAATAAAACAAACGCTAGATATTGAGGAGTAAATTGGAAGTAGCACAGTTATTTTCTATTATTCTTTTAAATAAATGTGGAAACCTCGGATTTAAATCCGAGAGTTATGTGTACTTCAAAAAGTGAATTAGACAGATGAGTCATCCTAGAATGTGTGGACATCAAAATTATCCTGGCAAATCTTTCCTA